AGTATCTCTCTACTGATTACTGTCCAGCCCTTCTACTGTGTACTGATGCATGGGCTGAGGTGATTTTACATTCCACTCCAGAATCCGTACAGGGCACATAAGGAGCTGGGTGATCAGTACAGTGAGATGCTGGCAGCTCCCATGCCACCCGCTCTGCATTCAGTGTATAGGCAGGAGTAGAGCAGGCACATGCCACACAGCCTTTACCAGCAATGTGCTGGTAGGCAGAGTCTTGCACTTTTAGGAGGGGGTGTACAGTGCAACCCCATGCACTCTATTCCCCCGACTGGACTGTGCCCACTGGCCCCTGGTTAGCACGCTACTGTATTAGGGTAGATGTAAGTATAAAATGCATTTCCAAGAATGGACACTACCCATGTAGCCATGTGTGCATGCACAGTGACACAAAGCGAGCACAGCATCCTGTTATGCCACTGATTTACAATGTATGCCAGGTATTGGCAGTACATGGAAACTAAGGATTATCACATTGGAACAATATTCTAATAAATGCAAACCCAATTTGAATAACTAAGCATGTTGTGCAAAAATATCCCTCTTTAAGGACATGTGCATTCTATGCAGTAGTTATAAAGGAGATATTTAGCATTGGACAGTAACTACAGTAAGCTGACAATTATCTATAAAAAGTTTTAAGAACCATTTACATTTTGTAAAAGATGTTGGAACACTAGGTGGCGCTGTGTTCCTTACAGCAGTCTCTAGTCTCGTCGACACCGTAGAATCCTGTGGAATATTACTTGATTAGCCATATTGTTAATCCACTAAAGTGAGAATTCAAACTGGATTTAAAGTGGATTTAAAATTCAAAGTAAAAATAGCGGAATGGAAACATTCTCTAAATCAGCTATGCTTCCAATTCGGCTACTTGGGTCTCAGATTTGAAATTTACTTTAGATTCTCACTTTTGTTAATAACCCTGTATGAGCCGAACAACTCTTTAAAGGACCACTATAGTGCCAGGAAAACATACTCGCGCCCGGCTCTGGAAAGGGGTAAAAACTTACCTTTTTCCAGCGCTGGGCGGGGAGCTCTCTGCCTCCGATCCTCCTCCGTTCCACCCCGTCGGCTGAATGCGCACACGCGGCAAGAGCTGCGCGCGCATTCAGCCGGTCGCATAGGAAAGCATTTATAATGCTTTCCTATGGACGCTTGCGTGCTCTCACTGTGATTTTCACAGTGAGAAGCACGCAAGCGCCTCTAGCGGCTGTCAATGAGACAGCCACTAGAGGATTAGGGGGAAGGCTTAACCCATTCATAAACATAGCAGTTTCTCTAAAAGGACCTGGCACCCAGACCACTTCATTAAGCTGAAGTGGTCTGGGTGCCTAGAGTGGTCCTTTAATGGAAATTCTGATTCACTCAGCATTGCTTGTAACTCTGTAAGTGCTACCTACCATCAGGCCAGTCAGTGATGTCATCACTATCATTTGCAGCAGAATTAAAGCTAAGATGTCAGATGTCAATGTCTCCTTTTAGTTCAGATATAAAGCAGACATTGTTATTCATTTAAGAGTGAAATGTCAAGATTTCAAATAAATTTTTGAATGTCAGCCCAAAATATGTCCATTGGCAAATAATACTTCAAATTAATGTTTGCTTGCAAAAAGCATGTGCACCACTTGCGAACTTGCCTCTTGCTGGATGCATTCGGATCCATTTTGACTTATTTATTTAAAATCAGTGCGTTATAAAATTTCGGTCCATTTTCACCGGATTATGTTGATCTGGACAAAATCCAGTGTATAGTAAATAACCTTATAAATGGCAAAATATAAGGAATTGAAAACAGAATTGTAAACTTTATGCTAAAATATTCATACTGTGTCAATAGTTGAACTGGATTTTTTTTTTCTTCTAAATCTGTGTTGTTGTTTTTCAAAATATTGCTATTCTGTTTTCTGTTTGCTACAATTCATTTTTTAGTGACAAAACTAAAATGGAATTTTATTAAAGGGACACTATAGCCATTAGAACAACTACAGCTTAATGTAGTTGTTCTGGTGAATATAATAGCTCTCTTTAGGCATTTTAATGTAAACACTGCCTTTTCAGAGAACAGCTCTATCAAATAAAGAAAACATGAAAAGTGGGTGGCATGATGATTGGCTCTTTGTCATTGCGTGGTGGCAACACAATAATGACACTACGCGTGTCGGGGGGGAGACCTGAAACATTTGCTTTACTTAGAGCACAGTGAAAGTGCAAAGTGTTTCCACATAATGAATACTTAAATATAGTTCCTAACACTAAACATTAGTTATTTTGCTGGGCTAATGCTCTATCTACAAAAATTTATGTTAACATATTGTTGAAAGGTTCCACTGCTTGGTTATGTAATGTGGGTACAACAAAACTTTTGAATTTACATTATAACATTCGTTTGGAGATTGGACTGAATCACTGATGAACCGGTGCTTCTTCAAAAGGTCCTCTACAGCCTACGTCAGATGGCATCCCATAGTACTAAAGTGCTCTGTTCTTTTTCAAAATGCTCAAATGTTTGTGAGTCAGAAGCTCCTCACTGCTAATGTTTACCCAGTCCCCAGGGACACAGGGACGCTTGCCAGCAATTAGGTTAGTGGAAGGACGAGGGTTCGGAGCAGACAGCTTGTTTTACATGCAGGAACCATGCCCTCTGGGAACAGGGGACATGGAACGTGCGAGGGGAATGGGTGAATGGGCTTACTGACAGCATTGATTCAATGCATCTCTATGAGGATTCCTGATTGGCCAAAACGGCATTTGGCCCCACCCCGATACTGATTTTAGCCAATCTAATGCTTTCACCAGGGGAAAGCATTGGATTGGCTAAAAATTTGGCAATTCTGATGTCACAAAGGGGGTGGAGCCAGCGCCGGTGGACCCACGCGGTGCTGGAAATAAGGTGAGTTTTAAACTAAGGGGCTAAGGGGGGGAGGGGAGGGGGCAAGCCACCTAAGTGGGTTTAGCACTATAGGGTCAGGAATACATGTTTGTGTTCCTGACCCTACAGTGATCCTTTAAGGCAAAACAGGTGCTATTCTGTGCAAAATGTTTAATACGACCAATCACTATGGAAACAAGTAGAATGCCTCAGCAATTTGCATCCAGAATAATGTTTGTTTTGACTTGATAATTTCTCGTCTTGGTGTGATATGTTATACAATATGGCCTTATGTTTAAATATTAATGTCTATTTAATATACACTTATGCTTATAACAAGAGTATAGCATGTACATTATCTTGTATAGTAACTTTTACTATTATCTAAAAAGATTACCATCTTTAAAGGGACACTATAGTCACCAGAACAACTACAGTTTAATGTAGTGGCCCTGGTGGCTATAGCATGTCTCTGCAGGCCTTTTAATCAGTGGCGTACACACAATCCATGGGGCCCCGGTGCAAAACTGATCTATGGAGCCCCCAGTGGCTCAAGTTGATAGGAATTAGTGTTCCCACTCTGACTCCCTCTGCTTCTTCCCGCGAGGCTCCTGGTGGTTGCTGGGAAGAGTGACCGTGGCAGTCACTTTCTCCCAGCGTCTGACATCATCAGAGGGAGCCCGGTCGCGCTCTTACCAGGCCCACTCTGATGATGATATTCATTTCCATCGGGTGGCCCTAACAATATGGGCCACCCGATGGACCCGTTCATACTGCGCGGCCGGGGCTGCAACACATTGCGGCGGCACCCAGTTGCAGGGGTCCGCAGGGCGGCCGTGCCCCCTGGAGTGACAGGCCCAGTCGCAGCTGCGACCGCTGTATGTACGCCACTGCTTTTAATGTAGAGATAACATCTCTAGTGGCAATCACTCAGACGGCCACTACAGGTGCTTCCTGAGACAGCGCTGCACAATGTGCAGCACTGATTTTCAGCGTCTCCATGCTCTGCACGCAGACGCTGAACATTCCCCATACAGATGCATTGATTTAATGCATCTCTATGAGGAGATGCTGATTGGCACAGCGTTTTGCCGTGCATGTGCAATAGCCTCTCAATGCTTTGCTGTGGAAAACCTAAACAGTGTTTTTAAACTATAGTGTCAGAAATACACATTTGTATTCCTAACACCATAGTGTTCCTTTAATAATAATAAATAAAACTCGTACTTTACCTTCTGTAAAATCAGTTCTAAAGGATTTAAATTATGTATGTTCACAAATATTTGTAGTATTAAAAGGAGTTTAAATGCTCAGTAATGTGTGATTACAATCTGCTACTGTATTCTAGAGCTGCTAGGTCTCAAACCTTGCAGCAAGCAGACAGTGCTTAATTTTAGAAGGTGAGCATGGGAATGGAATGATAGCTGTGAATAGAACTCTTTGTTCACCCACTATAATAGAAGCATTGATACACAGGAAATATACTTTTTTTTATGCTGCTGTCCGTGTAGGGGGCTGATGTACTGTGGCCCCAGCCTCTAAAAAAAAATAGTCCAAATCCTGCTCTTTCATTTAAACTTTTTGCATTTGAGTCTAGACTTATTGATCCTTTGTTTATCACAGAGAGGACTTGTTGCCGTCATTATTTTGCAATAATAAATAGCATGGGTTCCCTCGGAGATGGAGATTTAAAAAAAGCAAATGAGTGCCAAACAAAGTCCACGTCAGTAAAGTTAACAAACTGAAATTATAAGCATATAGGTCTTTATTGTAGGCTACACACGTACAAGTGAAATCCCACAATGCCCAGTGCACACCTCCCAAGATTCAGTATACTTGCCAACATTCCTAGATTTTTAAAAGACAGTCCCAAACTTGAGTTCCTGTCCCACCATTCTGGGTTTGTTCTCTGGTATTTCATGCAAGGGAGAACAGGGAATTGTACTGAGGTTTTCAAAGATTTTTTCCTTTTTTAACTTTAGCTAATGTAAAGCTTTTGTGCCGCTATAGTTTCCAGCTTTTCTTATTAAAGTGGATCTGTCACTCTTCAGTATTTCATAAACATATAATAATTTAACTGTCTGTTAAAAATACAATATTTTGGACGCAACTGGTCTGATCAAGCGCCAATAGTGTTATATTTGGAGGAGTCCTTCAAGTCGAATCCATGCAGGCCATGGAGACTCAGTGACCAATTAGTCACAGAGCTTGAAAATAAGACGCTTGCTGAAAAAGAGCTTAATAACTATTACAGGGAAAATTCAAATCCAAATGTACTTGTTACTTCATTATGGAAAGCTCATAAAGCTGTTTTGCGAGGACACTTAATACAGAGGGCATCATATTTGAAGAAAATTCGATCGAAAAATTTAAGAGAATTGGAAAAAGAATTGTATAACTTAAATCTGGCAAACAAATTTGGCGCTTCCTCGTCCCTCCCTGCAATGATCCTCGTTGTTAAAAATAAGATTAACACTCTTCAGTTGGAATACACAGCCTTGATGGTAAAGAAATTAAAACAAGTTTTATTACGCCAAAGGTAACAAGGCCTCCTTTCTGTTGGCCTCTAAATTGCGCCACCGAAGCTCCCAATCTAGAATTGAGCATTTAATTAATGACGAGGGAGTTTAGATAACTCCACAAGGTGGTCGGGGCCCCAGGAGTAGATCCGCCACTGAATTTAAGATTATTTTTCTCAAAGTTTGAGGGAGACATGTGTCATTGTTAAAAGGTAGCGTGCCAGGGGTATCAGTGAGTTATATGTAAAGGTATGATTATATGCAGCTCAACAATGCGTGCCCTTGGCAAAATCAGTTTAATTGTAAGAAAATAAACAAACACGCTCGATTTCGCAGTGAAGTAGCGCTACAGGAATGTGTCATGATAGGTGTCCTATGATGCAGCTTTCTGGTCCATGAAAGATCTTACTACGTTATGTCAACAGTTAAATGGGATCTGCTGATAAAGGGTACTACACTTTAACTGTGCAAAGATAACACTTGCGTGAAACAGAATGTCACACTATATGAAATGTTTAAGCATGCATTTGATAGTAGTGTAGTTACTGAAACTTTAAAATTATTTCAGTAAAGAATAGATGTAAGTTGACAAGCAGACTGTTAGCAAGTTGTGGTAAAGGGCAAAGTGTACTTATCTTACGATTAAGGAGACCAATTAAACCACCTTTCTCCAAAACAAGATCTAAAAATATGGGACAAAACTCAGCTAAATCTCACTACAATGAGGAGAGTCCTAAATAAAAAATGAAGGGACTGATCAAGATTGCTTCCCCTATATTATTATTTATAAAGCGCAAACAAGTTCCGTAGTGCTGCAAAATGCGTTGACTAACAGACATGTATTTGTAACCAGACGAGTTGAACACACCGGAACAGAGGGTTTGAGGGCCTTGCTTAATGAGCCTATATTCTAGAGCTAGTGGGGTATTGTGACACAAAAGGTAAGGGTAGGGTAGAAAAATGAGTTGCTAGAATAGTATTCACCTGGAGCTTAGTGGGTGTTTTTTAGTTTTTTAATGACTGTTGCAGGAGTGGAATCGGTGCAGGAAGTTAATGCTGTTAACAGTTTATTTGATATGATGTCCTTAAGAAGTGGGTTTTTAGTGATTTTTTGAAGGAATGGAGACTTGGAGCCTAACTGGGTAGAGAAGGGAGTTCCATGGGAACGGTGCCGCCTTAGAGAAGTCGTAAAGGTGATCATCAGAGGAAGAAGTACCAATAGGGGAAAGAAGCAGGTCTATGGCAGAGGATAGTGATCTGGATAGGACATACTTGTGTATTAGGGAGGATAGGTAGGTTGGAGCAGCACTATCTAGAGATTTGTAAGCAAGTACCAGAAACTTAAATTGAGCCCAATATCTAATGGGAAGCCCATGTAGGGAGGGGGAGGCGTGCGAGGTCCGTAAGGACAGGAAGATGAGCCTCGCCACCATTCATTATAGACTGCAACAGGGCAAGTTGGGAACATGTATGACCACTGAGAAGCAGATTGCAGTAGTCAGGGCTAGAGATGATAGTGGCATGGAGCACCTTTTCCGTGTTTGGCGTTAAATAGGCGCGTATACTAGCTATATTTTGGAGATAGAACTCTCATGCCAGTCTAGTACAGTTCTGCGAGGCAGTAGGGGATTGGATAACCAGACGTTTTATAAGGTTATAAATCTTGCCGATCTAACCACTCCTCCTCCTTTTCCAGTGCTGGACAGCAGAGAAATCAGATCTTCCTCGCCCACCCTCCCCTTTTTATTTTTCTGGCTTTCGCTTCTTCCTTCCTTCTCTGCTTTTCCTATTTGATTCCCACCTTTCCTTGGGCTGCCTTTGAGGTGTTTGTGATTTTATCTTTTTAGTTATGGTCACAACTGTGGAAGTTCATCCTGGCCAGAGCCCGGAGAAAGGAGTAGCTCAGAGTTAGAGCATTGGTAGAGGGGGTTCCTGCCATGGAATGTGACCAGGAACCCAACTCTGGTTTTAAGAAACTAGCCTACAGGCCAGTGCCCTCCAGCCTGCAGTGGGTTTACTTTTAAAGTCGTTTGCTTACAGTTGGTTAAATAAAGCTGTGGCAAAGTCCTTTTCCCCTTATTCAGTGGTCTTGTTCCACTTGTAAGAGAAGGGTTTGGGGTTTGATGGTTTGTTATATTTAGGCATGCATGTGGCAGTCGTTCCGTCCCCTTTGCAAATTTAGTAAAGATTATGAATCTTGTCTCCTAATGATGATGATACTTGTAGATCATTACAGATCAGCAATCAGATCTCGGATTCTCAGACACTGATTCTAGAACTCTTCATCTACTGAGTTATCTCACTGACTGAGCAATAAATGAAAAATACATTTACCAATAACTTAAAAAACTCAATGAGAACTTTCAGCCGTGTCAGGGAGTGACGTATTTGCTTGCGTGTTTTCGCTCTATTACGGAGGATGGAGCTTGCATGGTCAAGTGATGCCTAACACCTTCAGCATCCACTCCACTCCACTCCAGACTTCGGCACTCCAGATGCATTACGGCTACAAGAGCATTATGGAAGAGGAAAGCCAAAAAATCTGGAGTGCAAGTAACACGAACAGCCTTACCAGTCCCTCTCCCATCTATACATTTAAAAAAAACATTGTTTTCTGACTCAAATTTGACTTTGAAAAACAAAAAAAACTAAATTGCTATGTTTTGTTTGTTTTTTAGAATGTATTAACCCACATTTTATTTCAGAAAAAGAAAAAGTAAGAGTCTATGTAGACTTATTGGACAGCATTTGGATAACACATTTTTGCATTTATTTAACCCCTTAAGGACCAAACTTCTGGAATAAAAGGGAATCATGACATGTCACATATGTCATGTGTCCTTGATTCTCTTTTATTCCAGAAGTTTGGTCCTTAAGGGGTTAAGGGGTTAAATCCAACAATAGAATATTGAAAATACAATTAGAAAAACACACTGCTCTTGTCTATTAAATGTAGCAGCTCTGTTCTACCTGCAGGACGTGTTCAGGATAGAATGTAACACAAACTATGGGGGTTTAATAGGCCGGTATTGATAACATTCCTGTTGATAATTTCATTCTTTCAAACTCCAAATATTCGTGAATCATACATTGTCAAAAAGTTATTGTCAAAGTGTAATATAGTTAATACAAGTTTTTATCTTTAGTTCCACTTGCTGGTTTGGACAATATTTGTATATATCAAAATGTATAAGTGAAAAATTCCCACGATAAATGAGGCAATGAGGCACAGCCACCATTAATTTGTTCTTGCAATGTTTAAGAGGATGTACATTTATGGTAATGTCTATTTTAGAATTACATTTAACTACATAATAAACAATTTTTTGGTTTCTGAGAAGTCTGCTAGGCAATTCTTGGGTTATATTAAGTGCTTACAAAGCACCCAAGGTCTGCTGCAAACATTAGATTTCATACCTGCAAAGTACACAGACATGGACATTATTAATGGAACACTATAGTCACCTAAATTAGCTAAATAAAGCAGTTTTAGTGTATAGATCATTCCCCTGCAATTTCACTGCTCAATTCACTGTCATTTAGGAGTTAAATTACTTTGTTTCTGTTTATGCAGCCCTAGCCACACCTCCCCTGGCTATGATTGACAGAGCCTGCATGAAAAAAACTGGTTTCACTTTCAAACAGATGTAATTTACCTTAAATAATTGTATCTCAATCTCTAAATTGAACTTTAATCACATACAGGAGGCTCTTGCAGGGTCTAGCAAGCTATTAACATAGCAGGGGATAAGAAAATCGTAATTAAACAGAACTTGCAATAAAGAAAGCCTAAATAGGGCTCTCTTTACAGGAAGTGTTTATGGAAGGCTGTGCAAGTCACATGCAGGGAGGTGTGACTAGGGTTCATAAACAAAGGGATTTAACTCCTAAATGGCAGGGGATTGAGCAGTGAGGCTGCAGGGGCATGTTCTATACATCAAAACAGCTTCATTAAGCTAAAGTTGTTCAGGTGACTATAGTTTCCCTTTAAATATTATAAAGGACGTTTAAATGAATGCCAGTCAGATTTCTTCATTGCCCTTTTTTGGGGGTGGAGAGGAGGAGTTAAAATGAAATACACAGTACAATTTAAAGATCCACATTGGCATTTATGAAGAATTAGATGTGAAAATCAAGAAGTCAAAATGGTAAGTGCACACATGAATGACTGCAGATGTTTATATTTTTGCCATTCTAGCATTTTGGAATATAAGTACATGGAACGGATAGAAGGGACTCGAAGTTCTCTTCATCATTTTGTAAAAAGCTCTTTCCCTGATTGATTGGGGCCTGCGCTGATGCTGACTTTTATTAAAAAAAAAACAAAGTCAAAATCAATCTGTAATTTAAAAGTCTTTAAGAGTATTCATTTAATTAAAAGACATACAATAACCTCTTATGTGTCCTTAGAACCATATTTCTTGTTGATGTTAAAAAATGCATATATTTTATGTTTTCATTTTTTTTTCTTGGCATATGTACTTATATGCCAATTTTTGCCTACAATTCTCCACTTCTGACTGTATTGTTCTTTAATGTCATATTGAAAACTTTTTAATTAAAAACTTTAATTAGAAAAAAAAGCAAACATTGTCTTCACAACAAAAAAATATTCCGTGTTAGTGTTTATGAAGGCACTTCCATCTTGACAACGGAAGCGGATGTTTTTGATTTGGAATGTGTTCAAATCTTAGAAATGCTTGATCGTCTATAAAAACAATATATTTGTCTACCATGCTCAGCATGTCTCGGAAATTTTTTTATCTATGGTGGGGTAATTTGGAGCCCCCTGCCACCACTCATATCCTCTCCCATTTCTGTGTTGTGTATGGAACAAATTTATCCTCTGGTCCTTCACTGTCCTGCACCCCAGCCATGTCCTACATCACGGCACCTTCTGGGCATCAAAACACAAACAGCAAGATGGCAGAAAAGGTACAGGTCACTCAGGATGGGTCAGATGTATAGGCTTTGACTTGGGCGCTGGAGCAGCAGATCTTTACATCTGTCACGGGGACAGGAGGATATTAGAGTATTTTCATTCTTACATCAAACAACTGCTTCTCCAGCGACGTATTATAAAAATCTAAATCAGTAACACAATTCTCTGCCATGCTGCTAAGGGAGTGGGTGTGTTGTCCCCCCAAGTGGCTGTTGGTAGGAGGTACTGAAGAACAGACCTTTAATCAGCACCCCTTTATTACTTAGGTGGTATGGTGGAACTGATTATCTGGTCATGCTTTAAATGAGTATCGACAGCATGCTTTTCACGGAGAGAGCGGATATAACATAAAAAGGTGGGGATCTATCATGACAGATCCCCGCTGTTCTGTTAGAGTAGAGGTCAATAAGTTGTCCTTTGGGCTCAAGCCATGGGTGTTTCTGGAATCTTGATAATACAGGTTCTGGATACAGTCACAATAATTTGATTGATTTATTACAGCTCAATGATAACATTAAGTTGTATTGTTCCAAAAAGTGCGATTTATAAAATCCAAAAGTTAATTGAGTTGTCCCTTTTTCCTCTGCAGTGCGATTTGGTAAAATCAAGGTTGATTAAAAATGACACAGGTCCGTTGTGTTAGTCTTCAAAATCTTTTTCACATTGTTGACCTTTCACCTGCTTCATCGAGTTGCAGGTTTCGTTTTCTGGCAGCGTCACTGTTCAGTTCCAGGTCAGGTTTGTGATCCGTGACAGTAGTGTTGTCCGCTGTATCAGTAGGATTACCACCATTGGGAAGTGGGGCTTTGACGTCATAGTTTGGAGGACGCTTCCATGCAGGTCGAGTGGCAATCCAAATTACCAAACCACCGAAAACCACGATAAGAAGGCCCAGGGTATTTACAAAGATTGCTTCTGGAGGTAACTTACTGTACGGTGGCTCTTTCCTAAAAATAAATGAAAATTATATTTTAATGGTTTAGGGCAATAATAAGTGTTACATTCTTCTCACAGAGAAACAAATCATTTCATTATTATTCATTTGAAAACTAATTTAATTAGAAGATGAGATCAGTAAACAATTCTTCAATGGAAATATCATATACTCACTCCGGAGATTAAAGGTAATTTACTCATTTTTTCTCCCACACTACGCCGGTCTCAATGTGGCTGGCCCCACCTCCATGGCTGAGATTAACAATTGCTCATGCACTGCAAAACGCCACACTGAGCTAATCAGCATCTCCTTATCTCTATGGGAAACATTCAGCGCCTCCATGCAGAGCGTGTAGACGCTGAATGCCGTCGTTGCACACTGTGCAGCACTGACACAGAAAGCACCTCTAATGGCATATGAGTGACTGCCTCTAGACCACTAGAGGTGTTATTAGGCAACAATGTAAGCACTGCCTTCTTTCGAGGAAAAAAAAAAAAGGCCGGGTTTACAGTGCTAAGGATGCATGGACAGGATATAGACCCCAGAACCACTACATTACTAGAACCACTACAGTAGTGTTTCTGATGACTATAGTGTCCCCTTAACAAATATGTGCATGTAAGGTCATAAATTAAAAAAAATTAGGAATCCACACCACTGTAGTTACTTCTATCCTGTATTTGGATGCCTCCATTTTGGCTTCTAGTCAAATAATAATAATAATCATTCGTATGAAGTCTGCTCGTTTCTCTTCCTATATTGCTGTGCATTCCTGACTGCACATGGTCTGATATAAAATGTAACACCAATTGCTAGTGACAGTTCTACCCAGTGCAGTGATGGCTAAGCTTAGCACCCCAGATGTTCCTGAATTGTATTTGATAAGATGTTGGGGTTCCATTTTGGTGTTAGCCATCACTGAGTCAGATATTAGAACATGTGGCTTAATAAAAGATCATTTGTTATATTTTCATATTGCAGTAGCCTGCTCTATCCCACAAAATATAATAGTCAAATAATTGTGTTTTTCTCATTCATACTTACAACGTAAAGATTAGTTTCTCGGTGATTCCCATAAGACATGTTGCAATAATAGACCCGTAGAGGAGAAGACCCATGTACCCATGAATTGGCATCAGAGCAGCTCTGAGAGAATCTGACGCAATGGGCAAGAGGAAGACGAAAATGCTCATAACCAGCTAAAATGATAAATAAGGTGGTTAGAATGTTATGTATGTGCAGTAACCATGACTTTCGTATAACCCATTTTATATTCTGTACATCAGGGGTTCCCAAAAGGTAGATCCCAGAAGTTTGAAAACTACAACTTTCATGACGCTTTGTCATTTTAAAGACATGCAAAAACATACAAAGCATCATGGGATTTGTAGTTCTACAACATCCGGAGATCTACCTTTTGGTCACCCCTGCTATACATAGTCATCAAGGACAGACCCAAGATCTAGAATTATTATTTGTCAGCTCCCGTAGTAATAAGTGTTCTATAATATAATTTTTTATTTTACTGTATTTTTTACTTTTTTTGTAAATCATTTTATTGATTTTTCAAAGCATGTAAAGATGAGCGTTAGATCAACATCTAGAGACACGCAGGTCTCCAACGCGGAAATAACATTCAGTATTATGTGAACATTGACATATACGTGATACAGGTGTACTTATTACATCTGCTTTATCAGTGCGAGTGAGTGTCCTTTGTGTGACTAACTGAGGCTCTTGATACCTGAGCCACCCTTCTCTTGATCAAACCCCTAAGTGAGCTTAGAGTTAGTCATTTACAATGTGAGGAGCCGTTTCTTCTTGCTTGAGATTGTGTGGATGCCTGACTAAGGTTGTGTGATTATGATTAACGAAAGTGTGTCATAAGGCTCTGTCACTTTTCAAGGAAATGGGTTTTTGCAGTCAAGCCATGTCATTTCACCCCACACGGACTCATGTATTAGCTGTAAATGCCAGTTAATACTTCCCTTCGTGATTGTCGTTCGCCTAAGCCTAGATAAATGAGGGAAAACGTATGTAACATAGTTGCGGCTCAGAAACAGAGAATGAGAAGTAAGGCAAATAAGTGGAGTAGAGAGAGAGGGATTTTTTTTTTCAAAAAATGCAAAAATTTTAAATATTTTTTGTTTGTTATACAAATGAGGGGGGGAGAGGGGAAAGGGAAGTGGGGGAGGAGTGCGGAGGGAGTATTGGTCGTGTACTCATGCTTTGATATGTGTGTATATAATCCGAAATTAAATTTCCTTAAAGATTGCCGATATGCGCAATGGTCGTCTTATCCTTTCCTTGTGTTATGTTCACCTCTCTCCAAGTTGAGTCAACCTCAGATGTGGCGTCCTCCCCTCTAGTCCCCTGTCTGTCCGCTATGTATATGAACCAAGGTCGCCAACTTTCAGCATGTTTGTCACTATTACCTCGTAGTGCCGCCTGTGCGGCTTCCGCTGCCTGTATGTCCTCCACCCGCCCTAGCCACTGCTGCCTCGTCTATTTTTACTGTTATTTAGTGACAGGTGAACTGGGCCTTGATCTAACTCCGCTGGTGAAATTCTGAGCCAATTTACTGACAAATTTATAAATTTGGAGATACTGACCTGTAAAAAAAAAAGGATGACAACCGTCAAGCCAACCCAGCTGTGCAAGCTGAACATATTGGGGATTTTGAAAGAATTGTGATACTCAAACACAGCAACCATAGCCACGATCACAAGAACAATGGCTACGAGATGAAGGCCGGCATGTATACATTTCATTAACAGCTTGCTACATTTCCAGGTCCATGGCAACCTGTACACTATAATAGCTGGAAAAATGACACAAAACAAAACAACTCAGGTTACACATATTTATATATAAACATATAAATAAAAATCACAGTACAATATGGATCCAATACAAGACATAATACAGTACAATTATAGACATGACTCTATATAACCCAGGTTAGTATTACTTAATACGTTTTTCAAAGCAGGAAAAGCAAGTCTATCTAATTTCAACTGTTTGAATTGTGATAACTAACTGTAAAGGCTTTTTGTTAATCTAACTTGTTTGTATACTTCTTTATGGGCTATTGGATCCATACATTAGAAAAATAAATGTTAATCTTGGATATTTTCAGTGGAGTGTTCCCTTAACCCCTTAAGGACACATGACATATGTGACATGTCATGATTCCATTTTATTCCAGAAGTTTGGTCCTTAAGGGGTTAAAGGACCACTCTAGGCACCCAGACCACTTCAGCTTAATGAAGTGGTCTGGGTGCCAGGTCCAGCTAGGGTTAACTCTTTTTTCTGTAAACATAGAAGTTTCTGAGAAACTGCTATGTTTACCTATGGGTTAATCCAGCCTCTAGTGGTTGTGTCATTGACAGCCGCTAGAGGGCTTCCGCGCTTCTAACTGTGATTTTCACAGTGAGAAGACGCCAGCGTCCATAGGAAAGCATTGTGAATGCTTTCCTATGGACTGGCTGAATGCGCACGCAGCTCCTGCCGGGCATGCGCATTCAGCCGAAGAGGAGGAGAGGAGGAGGAGAGCTCCCCGCCCGGCGCTGGAGAAAGAGGTAAGTTTAACCCCTTCCTCCCCCTAGAGCCCGGCAAGGCACTATAGTGCCAGGAAAACGAGTATTTTTTTCCTGGCACCATAGTGGTCCTTTAACCCCTTAAGGACACATGACATGTGTGACATGTCATAATTCCCTTTTATTCCAGAAGTTTGGTCCTTAAAGGGTTAAGAAAGAATGTGCTAAAATTGCACACCTAGTGTTTTTATAGATATAAACTCTTTCTTACAGGGTCAAATAGACCAGAGTTTCTGCAGTTTTTAACTTTCAAGAACAATTTACTAGGCACCTCGTTACAACCCACCAGACCACTATACAAAAACGTGCATTTAATGTCATAGCCAAACCACTGTATGGACATGTTTGTTACGTTAACTTAACCTTATACAATCGTGGCATAAGCAGAAATGTCTGTATCACTGTTGATGCACTGAAAAATAAAGAATTAAAAAAAAAAAAACTTTCAAGAACAATTTACTTATATGCAAATAGGATATATGTAAATCTAAAATATAGAAACATAGAATGTGACGGCAGATAAGACTCATTCGGCCCATCTAGTCTGCCCAATTTTCTAAATTCCTTAATTAGTCCCTGGCCTTATCTTAAAGGAAAACTATAGTGCCAGGAAAGCAAACTCGTTTTCCTGGCATTATAGCTTCTTTCTCTGTCAAGGCCTCCTCCTGCGGAACTAAAGGGGTTATTAACCCCTTCAGTCACTTAGCTGGGTCCAGCGTTGATGTCCCTCAGCACTGACTAAGCTCCGCCCACGCTCCTCCCCTGCTGACGTCCGCTGGCGGGGTAGACCCAATGCTTTCCTGTGGGGATACCACCACTAGAGGAGGACTTAACCCTGCAAGGTAATTATTGCAGTTTATAAAAACTGCAATAATTACATGCTCAGGGTTAAAGGTGATGTGAGTTGGCATCCAGACCACTTTAAGCCTTAAGCCTATCCCACTCATGCTTAAACTCCTTCACTGTGTTAACCTCTACCACTTCAACTGGAAGGCTATTCTATGCATCCACTACCCTCTCAGTAAAGTAATACTTCCTGATATTATTTTTAAACTTCTTTCTTCTTTTAAAGGGACACTATAGTCACCAGAACAACTATAGCTTATTGAATTTGTTCTGGTGAGTAGAATCATTACCTTAAGGCTTTTTGCTGTAAACACTGTCTTTTCAGAGAAAATGCAGTGTTTACATTACAGCCTAGTGATAACTTCACTGGCCACTCCTCAGATGGCTGTTAGAGATCCTTCCTGGGTCACGGCTGCCTAAAATGCACCCAAATATTCAGTATCGCCTCCCTCTGCATGCAGACACTGAACTTTCCTCATAGAGATCCATTGATTAAATTCATCTCTATGAGGAGATGCTGTTGGCCAGGGCTGTGTTTGAATTGTGCTGGCTCTGCCCCTGATCTGCCTCCTTGTCAGTCTCAGCCAATCCTATGGGGAAGCATTGTGATTGGATCAGGCCACCACTTCTGATGTTAGAGGTCAGAGGAAGTTCACAGGCAGAGGCAGCAGCTTCAGACTTGAATACAAGTAAGATGTTACTATCTTTAGGGAGGCAAGGGGGCCAAGGGGGATAGATAGTGGTTTTAACACTATAGGGTCAGGAATACATGTTTGTGTTTCTGACCCTATAGTGCTCCTTTTAAATATAGTCTCCTCATTTACTGTGTTGATTCCCTTTATGCATTTAAATGTTTTTATCATATCCCTCCTGTCTCGTCTTTTCTCCTAGCTATAGAAACATAGAAACATAGAATGTAACGGCAGATAAGAACCATTCGGCCCATCTAGTCTGCCCAATTTTCTAAATACTTTCATTAGTCCCTGGCCTTATCTTATAGTTAGGATAGCCTTATGCCTATCCCACGCATGCTTAAACTCCTTTACTGTGTTAACCTCTACCACTTCAGCTGGAAGGCTATTCCATGCATCCACTACCCTCTCAGTAAAGTAATACTTCCTGATGTTATTTTTAAACCTTTGTCCCTCTAATTTAAGACTATGTCCTCTTGTTGTGGTAGTTTTTCTGCTTTTAAATATAGTCTCCTCCTTTACTGTGTTGATTCCCTTTATGTATTTAAATGTTTCTATCATATCCCCCCTGTCTCGTCTTTCCTCCAAGCTATACATGTTAAGATCCTTTAACCTTTCCTGGTAAGTTTTATCCTGCAATCCATGAACCAGTTTAGTAGCCCTTCTCTGAACCCTCTCTAAGTATCAATATCCTTCTGAAGATACGGTCTCCAGTACTGTGTACAATACTCCAAGTGAGGTCCCACCAGTGTTCTGTACAATGGCATGAGCACTTCCCTCTTTCTACTGCTAATACCTTTCCCTATACAACCAAGCATTCTGCTAGCATTTCCTGCTGCTCTATTACATTGTCTCCCTACTTTTAAGTCATCTTATTGTACAGTTATATATGGGTTATATTTGCTTGTGAATTGACCCATTTGAAATTATGATGGCAGACAGTCTATGAAGTAACAGGAGACTGGTTCATGCAGATTCATGCAATCATGGGATTTCAGAAAAAAATATATAATGAAATTATAACCATCAGAAAGTAATCTAGCAATATGTACAATCCTTCCACAAGGGGGCATTAAGTGTGAAATTAAACACACTCCGTGTTAGATGTTTTGGAAGTTGACGTTAAGAATTTTTTGCACTGGTTACGAGTTAATAGAGCATGGACTGGGGTTTATACAGCAGGTGTGTAGTTTATTAATTATATATTCATGGAAAACTCTGAATTCAATCACAGATTTGGTGTCACAGTGTGATACATAGAACACATTAGGCTCCAGTGTAGGACTGTGGGCACTTTATAAAGCTAGTTTTATGAGGGGAGAAAGTCACAATATGTGAGATGAGCCATCAAAATTTACTCATGGGCTGAAACCCCTGGTGCTGTAACCACCTAGACAAGGCACCTGCTAACATATCTTAACTACATTTTACATGATGCTCAACCACCATAAAGTTTGGTTCAGCATCTCCAACTCCAAAGGGCTGTAGATATTTTTTTCCAACTCTCCCTGCATACCCTTTTTAAAAAATCTAAGCAATACTTGTCAATAGTCATCTCAGACCAACTTGAAACTTAGTAAACAGACACTTTAGCAGGTCTGAGATCAAGTGTAATGTAATGAATGCATCTATTTCAGCATCCTGTTAGAAGAAGGTTTGTTGAATCCTGTGGTACAGGATAACGTAGATTTAGTCGCTGTTACTGACACATGGTATAATGAGAAAAATGACTGGGACATATCAATACCAAGGTACTCTTTATATAGAAAAGACAGGGGAGGCAAGAAATGGGTAGGGGTGGCCCTGTTTGTGAAGGATAGCATTAAATCTAGCCTAATAAAAATGTAGTGATGCGAACAGAGAGTCCGTTTGGGTTATGTTAGAATTTGTTAATGACACAGTAACTCGTGTAGGTGTGATTTATAGGCCCCCAGGACATATTGAAGAGTTAAATAATCTACTAGTTGAGGAAATAGCTAAAATGATTTAATCTTCCTGATGTGAATTGGAAAACCAAAACAGCTGCTTGTGCCAGGAGCACACATATTCTAAACTCCCTACTGGGATTGTCTCTAAAACAAGTCGTTGAAGAGCCAACTTGTAAGGAGGCCATACTAGATTTAGTGTTAACAAATGGAGATTTGGTATCAGATATTGCTGTAGGTGAAAGTTTAGGATCCAGTGATCATCAGTCAGTGTGGTTTAATATTGGAACCGTGACTGAGTCACACCATACAAAAATTAAAGTTTTAGACTTAATGAAGTCTAAAGGAGTCATTATCAGACTGGAGCAGTTTCAATGGAGTCCAAGAGATATTGGAATATTTAAAAGTTGCACAAATGAAGGCAAAAATTTTAAGAAACCCCTGTGGTAATCCACCAAAGTGGCCAAAATAGTAAAAAACAAAATGTTAGCATTCTGTAATTATAAAAAAAAAAAACAGATTGAGTACGATAGACAGATCGATAAGATTAGGCAGAAAGAGGCAAAGCAAGTTATAAGAGCTTCCAAATCACACACAGAAGAGAAAATAGCACAGTCAGTAAAAAAAAAAAAAGGAAACAAATTTTTTTTTAGATACATAAATGAGAAAAGGAAAGTAAAACAAGGATTAGTTAGATTAAAAACAAAAGAAGTAAGGTTTGTAGAAGAGGATAAAGGTATAGCTGACTGCCTCAACAAATATTTTTGTTCAGTATTTACAGATGAAAATGAAGGAAAGGGACTTCAGTGAGGAAAAAGGATAAACGAGTCATTTGTTACATGTGAGTTTACAGAGGAATAGGTTTAAGCATGCGTGGGATAGGCATAAGGCTATCCTAGCTATAAGATAAGGCCAGAGACTAATGAAAGTATTTTGAAAATTGGGCAGACTAGATGGGCGAATGGTTCATATCTGCCGTCACATTCTATGTTTCTATGTTTCTCTATTGAGTAATTTAGCAATGTAGCAACTCTCTAACAAAGCTTAATTTTACTTTCAAACCCATCTCCTGCTTTTTCTTTTTCATTCCAGTTTATTTATGAAAACGGACAACTGTGGAAAATTGACAAGGTCATTGCAAATTTCAGACCAAAAAAAGCCAATTTTTCCGTCAATGTTGGCCTTGAATGTATTAAAACGTAAATTTTCAGGAATGTGTAGTATTGTGAATAAACTCTTACTGACTGAGACTTTTGAAAAAATATTTTTAAAAAACTATTTTTTTTATTCATTATACAAAAAAAAGTCTGGCAGAGATGAACCACCAGGCACTCAGAGTGTAAAATGTAATGGCTCACCAGACACATTGCATTAGAGGTTTGTCTGAATTTGACCAACCTAATCACAAGAATAATACAAAAAAAACCAAAAAACATTTACTGATAATCATGCATTCAGTAACAAAGTGCATGTTGTTTGAATAGTTTACAATACATAATAATTACATACAGTTGTAGGTCATTAAAAACAATTATATATTAACCGACTGGGTCCCACAATGTTTTTTTGTTCAGGCCAAATTAGCAAAAATTAAAGCATAGATGACTTTAGAGAATTTAGCCATTTTGGCTATTTTTAAAATTTATTTTGAAACTCTCAGTGAATTCACTTATAATTTTTACGAGTTCACTTACTCGTTTAACCCATGCAATATCTCTTAACGCAGACCTACCAATTCCTTCAATAAACACGAATCCTGTAATTACTAAGAGAGGGTGCAAGTTAAACTCAGCAGCCCCTCCATTCCAGGCGAGGCCTTCTCTCCAGTACAAAACCCAGACCAGGACAAAAATAACTCCCAAAAAACCAAACAACAGCGAGGACACGAGAAAAAACAAAAAACTTCTGTATCCCTCCATCTTCAGCAGCAGAAATAACTGTTTGTTGTGGAGAGAGGCTTCAGAACATGAACTAACAGAGCTACACACCTCCCTCCCCTAACATAAGAGACTAAAGGAGGAGGGATGGAACACTGAATACTCCCCTGAAACTTTGTGACTGACTAGGCTGAGTCTCAACCCACCCCTTCGCTTCTTTACTCAAGGTTCTAGAAGGTTTTATAATCATTATAAAATAAAAAAGGAAGCTTTACATTTTAAGGAATCAGATTTGTTGTTTTTTTGTTTGTTTTTTAAAGAATCAGATTTATGTTTCGACAGAACCTACGTATCACTGTACATAATTCTTTATGTATTAATTGTTATAACCCTCTCTCTGTGTGAATATATTTACAATTCTTACTGGTTCAAACATAACAAAAGGTATTTTTCAACTGGACTTGCAAATTAAATAGGTCAACTTAAACCTGATAACCCCCCGGTTCGCTGGCAATGTTGACAATTACATACACCACTGAGGTTGAACATGCGGAAGATGAGCCATCAGTACTCAGAGGCCAAAAAGAGAGGGAGAGCTCATACAGAAAGGGTGTATGAGGGGTCTGTCGGACTTGATGTAGAGTGAAGGGTGTTATTTGTACAGGGGATATGGATGTGGATCTGAGGTACAGAGGGGAAACGAGTACGAGCACAAATGGAGAAAGGAACTTTATATGGGCACCAAAACAACCATAACCACAGTAACTCACAGTTATACCTATAGAGCTATAACTCTACTGATGATAACATACCCCCAGGACGTGCCTCTCAACATTTCAAATGTATATTTTGGTAATTTAATACTTTAAGGGTCACCTATCTTCCTCTTCTACCTCACTTTCAAACCCTCATGTTTTGAGTGAATTTTGTGCATTTTAAGATATAACTTATTTAATTTAGTCTCACCGATTTTCACTGTATATAGAAAGAGCAGCTACCTCTTATTTTTTATTTTAGGTTCTCAAACACTGTCGGACCCAAGGTGTATGTATATGGCTAAAGAATCCTGTCATATACTAAAGGTAGGGATAAATCTTTCACGTTTTTTTTTTACATATCCGTCATTAAAAAACAAACAAACAAAAACAAATAGTTTTGAGGTTACAGTTGTCCTCTAAAATGGTCTGCACCATAGCAGACTATGCACTTCGCCACTACATTACTATGGAATCATTTATTTTAATGAATATATTTCCAATTCAGTAATACAGTAATGCTATTGTACCTGCTATCTGCCAACAGGAAGACCTCTGCATGTCCATTATGGCTCTCATGCCATAGGTTCGATTAATATATTATCCATTAATGTACTGTAATCTGCATTCTCAAATAAGATTGCTTTTAAAGAAAAAGTTAAAATAATAAACTTCTAATCTCTTAGAAATGAGAGCCAAGTTATATGAGCCAAGCAAGCAGTTTATGACTTCTATGACCTTTCACATAAAAGTAGAAGATTAATGTTCTCAAAGTTTGAGGGAGACATGTCATGGTTAAAAACTAGCGTGATAGGGGTATCAGTGAGTTATATGTAAAGGTATGATTACATGTAGCTCAACAATGCGTGCCCTTGGCAAAATCAGTTTAAGTGTAAGAAAATAAACAAGCACGCACAATTTCGCAGTTACGGGAAGTAGCTCTATGGGAATGTGTCATGATAGGTGCGTATGATGCAGCTTTCTTGTCCCTGAAAGATCTTACTAGATTATGTCAACAGTTAAATGGGATCTACACTTACTGCATAGGGTACTACACTTTAACTGTGCAAAGACAACATCTACGTGAAACACAATGTCACACTACATGACATGTTTCAAAGATTTATGGCTAATGCAAAGTGTTTCTCTGCTCCGTGAGGCCCCCAGTGTTGTAAAGGGTTAAATAACGCTTTATTCACTTACCTGATTCCAGCGCAGATGGAGGGGACCTAATGCGCATGCGTGGGGAGCACCTCACGTGTATTATGCCTCCCCCCTATAGGAAAGCATTGCCTCAATGCTTGAGGTTTACTTGACACTGGATGTTCTTGTGCAGAGCGTGAGGACGTCCAGTGTTGTTTCACAGAGTCAAACTTCGTGAAACGTCAGGAAGCTCTTTCTGTCTAGTAGCTAGAACCAACATTTGCCGACATTTCATTTAGTAAAGAGGCGCACAAATTTGAGTTCTGATCTTTTCCCATTTAGAAATGACTGTCTCTCCTCTCTCACACTGTGTGTAGTTCTGAAATACATCATCATCAGTCCTGTGGAGAGAGCTAAGCAGATCACATACATAAGGCAAATGCTTAAATCTCACACTTTCTATAAATTCATGACGACACAAAATAAATACAATTTCCTGATCTCTACTTCTGCTCCCTCACTACTGCTGGGGGTCAAACACGTACAATCTGTAGTAGGAAGTGTAAGAAAGGAAGCCCAATGCACCATTTAAATGAGTTGGGCCATGAGTGCCTCTCATGCTGGTTTAGGACAGTTCTGCAAGGCAAGATACCTGGAAGGTTTAAAATGTTGCCACTTATTAGACATGTGCACCAGTGAAGTTTTCGTTTCGTAGAAATGATTTCATACTAAATAAAAATTTCATTTGTCAATCCCGAATTTCGTCCACAAAACATTCATTTCTAACGAAATTTGTTAAAAAATTATTTGTTTTTGTCCATTCGAACAAAAACAGCACTGCTCATGCGAATAAATAAATGAATTAAAAAGTACTAGTAACTGCCCAGTCACTAGTGCAATAAAGGGGGACCTGGCACAGGTTAAATCCTCCTGCATGCCCCTACATGTGCCAGGTCCCCCCGTGTAGTAGGGGTATGTAGCCTAAACAGCGACCAGCCAGTGGCTGCTTGCTGTAATTTAAAACTGGATATAAAAATCTGTATTTTATATAGAAGTGATAGAGAGCTACAGTAAGAATACATGTAACCAAAAGTTATAGCAAAAACTATAACAATTTTGCAATATGAAAAAGTAGTTATTTAGATCTAAATAGCTACTTTTTACATGTACTCTTACCAGAGGTCTAACACGTCTATATAGGATACATTTATATCCAGTTTTGAATGACAGTGAGCAACCAACGGCTGCTCGCTGTCATAAAACTAAATATGAATCAGTATGGGGGTCACTATGACCCCCATATTGATAAAAGGGAGGTTAAATCCTCCTGCATGCCCCTACTCGCGGCATGTCATTTAGCTATTGCTGCCCAGTCACTAGTGCAATAAGGGGGACCTGACACAGGTCCACATGTTCCCCCATGGTGGGGAACACAAATTACTAAAATGGGGGGACATAGTTCCCCCCCCGCACTCCCACCTATGACCCTCGGGTGGGGGGTATTAATATACCTAATGTCCCCCTGATTCCCACCCATGAGCGGTGGGTGGGGACCCTAAATAAATAAATAATGGAGGGACCTAATGTCCCCCCCCAGGTCCCCACCCATAAACAGTGGGTGGGGCCTATAATAATTAAAGGGGGGAGCTAATGTCCCCCTGGTCTTCACCCATGAACAGCGGGTGGGTACCCTAAATAAATTTATAATGGGGGGGATCTAATGTCCCCCCCCAGGTCCCCACCCATGACCGGCGGGTGGGGACCACAAATAATAAAGTGACTAGGAGTCCTCAAGCCCCTAGTCAGCCCCCCCCAATAAAAATACCCCCCCTACCCCCCTCACCCTAATAATAGTGGGGGGGGGGCAATAAGCTAACCCTGTAAAATAAAATTTCATACTTACCATTTTATGTCTTCTTTCTTCTTTTCTTTCTTAACCCCCAAATCAGAGTGCTCTGTGTCATTTTACACAGCGTGGGAAAGTTCTTTGGAATTTTCCCATACTGTGTAATTTGACTCATAACACTGTGATTGGTTGCTTTCAATTTGATTTGTGATTTCTATTTATGATTTCTATTAGGGGGGAGTGACTAGGGGACCCCTAGTCACTTTATTATTTGTGGTCCCCAACTGCCAGTCATGGGTGGGTACTTGAGGGGGCATTAGGTTCCCCCCAGTATTTATTTATTTAGGGTTCCCAACCGCCGCTAATGGGAGGGGACCAAGTGGGACATTAGAACTCCCATTTATATTAATAGCCCCACCCAAGGGTCACAGGTGAGGGTGCAGGGGGCACTATGTCCCCCCCATTTTTGTTATTAGTGTTCCCCACCATGGGGGAACGGCCCTTATTGCACTAGTGACTCTGCAGCACTAGTTGCCCAGTCACTAGTACTTTTAAATTTGTTTAGGTGACATGCCCTTACTCACGGCATACCAGCATACCGCGAGTAGGGGCATGCGGGAGGATTTAACCTCCCTTTTAATAATAATTATTTATTACAGGGAGGGAGCTGGTAGAGCTGCTGGCTCCCTCCTTGTTTTTATTTCTATTTTTTCACGCATGTGCAGTCTTATTTCTCCGTGCTGCGGGGGTTAATTCCCCTGCAGCACGGAGTATATTTAAAGAAACGAAATGAAAAGGTAATGCATTCGGCATTTGCCCTTTCGTTTAGTTTAGATTTCATTTGTAGGGCTTTCGTTTACGTTTTAGTAAACGAATACGGAAAAACCTGAATTTTCAGACGAAATTGTATTTGTATGAAAACTAATGCACATGTCTACCACCTATGGCACCTTTTCCTTTCCAGTCCCGGGCAGCAGAGAAGTTCCTCCCCAACCCTCTTCTTCCTCTCTTCTCTGCTTTTGCTATTTCCTTCCCACCACTCCTTGGGCTGCCTTTGGGGTGTTTGTTTTTGTTTTTCTGTTTTCAGTTATGGTCACAGTTGCGGAAGTTCATCTTGGCCAGTGGCTGGAAAAAAGGAGTAGCTTGGAGTTAGAGCTTTGGTAGAGGGGGCTCCTGCCATGGGAGGTGAACAGGAACCAAACTGGTTTAAGTAATCCACCTGGAAGCCGATGCCCTTCAGCCGGCAATGGTTTATGTTTACAGTTTAATTAATAAAGCTGTGGCCATGACATTTTCCTCTTAATCAATGGTTCGTGTTTCATTTGTGGGAGATGGGTTTGTTATATTTAGGCATGCCTTTGGCAGTCATTCCGTCCCCTTTGCAAATTTAGTAAAGATTATGAATCTTGTCTCCTAATAATGATGATACTTATAAATCATCACAGAACAGGAACCAGATCTTGAATGCTTGACACATTCTAGAACTCTTTATCTACTGAGTTATCTCACTGACTGAGCAATGAACTAAAAATACATTTACGAATAAATAAATACCTCAGATGAGAACTTTCAGCCGTGTGGGCCACATATAACTGCACCTGTAATTTTTTGCTTGACCCAAGTCTCTCTACTACGGAGGATGGAGCTTGCATGGTCAAGTGATGCCTAACACTTACCTTAGCTCAGGGGTAGGCAACCTTCGGCACTCCAGATGTTGTGGACGGCATCTCCCATAATGATCTTACAGCCACAGAATTGGCAAAGCATCATGGGAGATGTAGTCCACAAAATCTGGAGTGCTGAATGTTGCCCACCCCTGCCCAAGCTCATCTGTTGATCTGCACATGTGTATTCAGGCATTTTACACGGTTTTATAATTTTTTTTGTCAATCCTGGACTGTTGATGAGCCTTGGGAACCACTTATCTAACATTTCCTTGTTGCAATGATGTAAGAAGACATTACACAACATGAAGCTTACATGTTTTATTCTGTGATATAGTTACATATATTTATGCATATTTAGCTGTGAGATTCAGCATTGCTACATTTGCTTCAATTATTTAAAGCTTCATAATACATGGTTCATTAGAAAGAACAGTATTGACACTTGATCAGTAAAAAAAAAAAAAAAAAGGAAAAAAAATCATTTTTATTCACTAAACTGGAAATTGTACAGAATTCAAAAAAGAATTGCAATTTTAGCGAAATATTCTGAGCCAGCTGTTTTGGCCTAACATTTGTATTCCCCTTGTTAATTCTTAAGAATTGTAGAAAAACAAAAACAAAGTACATCAACAAAGAAGATGATTCATTTTTCTTTTTGCTTATGCCAGAGATATGGGACTGCGGTTTGCCTGTTGTTAGTGGCACATTGCGGTTATTGCTAGTTTATGATATTGGGAGTTGCAGTGCAATTACAGCTGCAGAATTAGTGTCTGCACATTTCTGTCTCCCATTGCTATTCACTAACATGTGAATTGGGAATTAAAAGTGAATTCAAAACGAATTAAACATTTTAGGCGAAAACAGCGAAACCAAAACTACAACTACCTAAAATTTTTTTAATGTTTTACTATTTTAACCTTCAGTTTGATATCGTCTTAAAAATGTAACTCAGGGAATTGCAAACTTGACTCTGCAGTAACGGAGCTCAGAACGTAGCAGATTAGGATTTGTTCCAGTTACCATGAGATAGATTTCTCACTTCCTTATTCTATGTTCAAGAGGTGTCTTGCAAGTAAGAACACACATTTGTGCAGAACGGACAACCTAGTTTTATTTAGACCAATGTAGTATAGCTGGAAAACAACTTTTCAATTTGGAATTTTTGGTACAACATTTTTAGATTTGGTTATAGATTCCTCTTCCTCTTAAATGTTGTATAGCTTTTCTTAGTCAAATGGTAACCAGCACTCAGTGGGAATATAGTTAATCAAAAATCCAATTTTTAAAATATAGGTATCGGTTTCAAAACAAGTCATGATGTCAAAAGGATCGAAAGCTGGAAGCCACAAAACAGTTTGGAAAATTAAAAAGCACCCACTAGGTCAGGGGCAGGCAAACTTCGGCACTCCAGATGTTGTGGACTGTATCTCCCCTGATGCCTTGCCAGCAATTTGGGTGTAAGAGCATTATGGGAGAGGAAGTCCAAAACATCTGGAGTGCAAGTTACACGAACTGCCTTGCCAGTCCCTCTCCCATCTATACATTTAAAAAATATATTGCTTCTGCCTCAAATTTGACTTGTAAAAAAATAATTTATTAACCCACATTTTATTTCAGAAAAAGAAAAAGTAAGATTCTAGGTAGACTTATTGGACAGCATTTGGATAACAATTGTTTGCATTTAGATTATTTAAATCCAACAATAGAATATTAAAAAATACAATTTGAAAAACACAGTGCTCTTGTCTATTAGATGCAACAGCTCTGTTCTACCTGCAGGACGTGTTCAGGATAGAATGTAACACAAAATATGGGGGTTTAATATGCAGGTATTGATAACGTTACTGTTGATAATTGAATTCTTCCAAACTCCAAGTATTTGTGAATCATACATTCTCATACGGTTATAGTCAAAGTGTAATTTAGTTAATACAATTTTTTATCTTTAGTTCCACTTGCTGGTATGGACAATATTTGTAAATATCAAAATATATAAGTGAAAAATTCCCACGATAAACCAATAGTCAATGAGGCACAGCCACCATTTATATATTCTTGCAATGTTCAGGGGGATGTGCATTTATGGTAATGTCTAATTTAGAATTACTTTTAAATACATAAAAAACTATTTTCAGTTACTAAGAAGTCTGCTAAACAATTCTTGGGTTATGTTAAGTGCTTACAAAGCACCCAAGGTCTGCTGCAAACATTAGATTTCATACATGCAAAGTACACAGATGTGGAAATTATTAAATATTATAAAGGACGTTTAAATGAATGCTAGTCAGATTTCTTCATTGCCCTTTTTTGGGGGGGGGGGGGGGGGGGGAGGTTAAATTGAAATGCACAGTACAATTTAAAGATCTGGGGTGCTAAGCTTAGCCATAACTGCACTGGGTAGAATTAGATGTTAAAATCAAGAAGTCAAAATGCTAAGTGCACACATGAATGAATACAGATGTTTATATTTTTTGACATTGCAGCATTTTGGAATATAAACGAATAGAAAGGACCCAAAGTCCTATATATAATTTTTTAAAAAGTTCTTTCCTGGGTTGGGTCCTGCGCTGATGCTGACTTTTATCAAAGAAACCGAAGTCAAAATGAAACTAATGCCTTTAACAGTATTCATTTAATTAAAAGACATACAATAACCTCTTATGTGTCCTTAAAGGACCACTAAAGGCACCCAGACCACTTCAGCTTAATGAAGTGGTCTGGGTGCCAGGTCCAGCTAGGGTTAACCTTTTTTCTATAAACATAGCAGTTTCAGAGAAACTGCTATGTTTATAATAGGGTTAATCCAGCCTCTAGTGGCTGTCTCATTGACAGCCGCTAGAGGGCTTCCGCGCTTCTCACTGTGATTTTCACAGTGAGAAGACACCAGCGTCCATAGGAAAGCATCTGTAATGCTTTCCTATGGACTGGCTGAATGTGCGTGCGGCACCTGTGGCGCATGCGCATTCAGCCGAAGAGGAGGCGGAGAGGAGGAGGAGAGCTCCCCTCCCGGCGCTGGAGAAAGAGGTAAGTTTAACCCCTTCCTCTCCATCCAGCCCGGCTATAGTACAAGGAAAACAAGTGTTTTCCTGGCACTATAGTGGTCCTTTAAAATAATATTTCTTGATGATGTTAAAAAATGCATATTTTCTATGTTTCCAGTTGTTTTTCTTGGCATCTGTGCTTACATGTCTATTTTTGGCCTACAATTCTCCACTTCTGACTGTATTGTCATATTGAAAACATTTTTATGAAAAATTTGAATCACAAAAAAAAGCAAATATTGTCTTCACAACAAAATAATGGACAGTATTAGTGTTCATGAAGGTACTTCCATCTTGACAACGGAATGGGTTGTTTTTGTTTTGGAATGTGTTCTATTCAGCAAATCGTAGGAATGCTTGATCATCTATTAAAAATGTAAAAAAAAATCAGTCCCAGACGCAGCTGTAGGAATAGTGATGCTGAATCTGTGGCACAGTTGTTGCTGCACTTTCTCCACTTTCTACCATGCTCAGCAAGTCTTGGATATTTTTAGGGCATATCTATGGTGGGGTAATTTGGTGCCCCCTGCCACCACTCATATCCTCTCCACTTTCTGTGCTGTGTATGGAAGAACAAATCTATCCCCTGGTCCTTCACTGTCCTGCACCACATCCGATATATGGTACCTGGTATGTCGTACATCACTGCATCTTCTGGGCATCAAAACACAAACAGCAAGTTGACAGAAAAGGTATAGATCACTCAGGATGGCTCAGATGCATAGGCATTGTTTTGGGCGTATCTTTGCAGATGGAAGAGAGACACGAGGATATTAGAGTATTTTCGTTTTTACATATAACAACTGCTTCTCCAGAGACGTATTATAAAAAGAAAGATCTATAACATAATTCTCTGCCAGGCTGCTAAGGGAGTGGGTGTGTTGTCCCCCCAAGTGGCTGCTGGTAGGAGGTACTGGTGATCAGACCTTTAATGAGCACCCCTTTATTACTTAGGTGGTATGGTGGAACTGATTATCTGGTCATGCTTGAAATGAGTATCGACAGCATGCTTTTCACGGGTAGAGAGGTCATAATATATAAAGGTGGGAATCTATCATGACCAATCCTCACTGCTCTGTTAGGGTAGAGGTCAATAAGTTGTCCTTTGGGCTCAAGTCATGGGTGTTTCTGGAATCTCGTAATGCAGGTTCTGGATACAGTCACAATAATTAGATTGATACAACATTGAGCTGTATTGTTCCAAAAGATGTAATTCACAAAAATCTTAAAGTTAATAGAGTTGTCCCTTTTTCGTCTGCAGAGAGCTTTGGTAAAATAAAGGTTGTCTTAAAAATGACACAGGTCCGTTGTGTTAGTCTTCAAAATCTTTTTTACATTGTTGACCTTTGACCTGCTTCATCGAGTTTCAGATTTCGTTTCCTGGCAGCGTCGCTGTTCAGTTCCAGGTCAGGTTTGTGATCCGTGACAGTAGTGTTGTCCTCTGTATCAGTAGGATTACCACCATTGGGGTGTGGGAGTTTGACGCCATAGCTTGGAGGACGCTTCCATGCAGGTCGAGTGGCAATCCAAATTACCAAACCACCGAAAACCACGATAAGAAGGCCCAGGGTGTTTACAAAGATGGCTTCTGGAGGTAACTTACTGTACGGTGGCTCTTTCCTGAAAATAAATCAATAAAATTATATTTTAATGGTTTAGGGCAATAATAATTGTTACATTCTTCTTACAGAGAAACAAATCATATCATTATTATTCATTTGAAAACTAATTTAATTAGAAGATGAGATCAGTAAACAATTCTTCAATTGAAATATATACTCACTCCGGAGATTAAAGGTAATTTATTCACCTTTTCTCTCACACTACGCTGGTCTCGCCATGGCTGGCCCCACCTCCATGGCTGAGATCAACAATTGCTCATGCACTGCAAAATGCCACACTGAGCCAATCAGCATCTTCTCATAAAGATGCGACTCTATGGGGAACGTTCAACGCCTCCATGCAGAGCGTTTAGACGCGGAATGCCGGTGTTGCACACTGTGCAGCACTGACTCAGAAAGCACCTCTAGTGGAAGCTGAATTCCACTAGAGGTGTTACTAGGCAGCAATGTAAGCACTGCCTTTTCTAAAAAAATAAATTAAAAAAAGGCAGGTTTTGCAGTGCCAAGGCTGCATGGACAGGACATCAGAACCACAACATTACTAGGATCACTCATGTAGATGTACTGATGACTATAGTGTCCCCTTAACAATTATTTGCAAGTACGGTGTTAAATAAAAAAAATTAGGAATCCACACCACTGTAGTTACCTCTATCCTGTACTTGGCTGCCTAAATTTTGGCTTATAGTCAAATAATAATAATAATCATTGTTATGAATTCTGCTTGTTTCTCTTCCTATATTGCAGTGCATTCCCTGTGCATTGTGTGGGACTGAAATAAAATGTAACAGCAATTGCTAGTGACAATTCTACCCAGTGCAGTGATGGCTAAGCTTAGCACCCCAGATGTTCCCGAATTGTATTTGATAAGATTTTAGGGTTCCATTTTGGTGTTAGCCATCACTGAGTCAGATCTTAGAACATGTGGCTTAATAAAAGATCATTTGATGTATTTTCATATTGCAGTATCCTGCTCTATCACACAAAAGACAATAGTCAAATAATTGTACTTGTTTCTAGGATATTCATACTTACACCGCAAAGATTAGTTTCTCAGTGATTCCCATAAGACAGGTTGCAATAATAGACCCGTAGAGGAGAAGACCCATGTACACATGAATTGGCATCAGAGCGGCTCTTAGAGAATCTGACGCAATGGGCAGGAGGAAGACGAAAACGCTTATAACCAGCTAAAAATTATAAATAAGGTGGTTAGAATATGTTATGTATGCACAGCGATATAGAAATTTATTACGAATAAATAATTCAAGAGATAACCAGAAGCTTCTAATTAGGTGTTTGAACGCTCGGGAGAACCGATAATAAAACCACAGACTTACTCCGCTGTAGTTCAGATATCATCTCATCTTTAATTGGGAGAGCATTGCATATATAAAATGGTATTAGTCTACTGCGCATGTGTACATGAAAACAAGCAACAATTACTTTTTATTAAGCATGTGTGCGTGAAAACAAGGGACAATTCCTTACTTGAGAAGTCTTATCTAAGCTATGTTACAAAAAGTAACATTTCATGAAGAATGTGCTGCAGAAAACTGCTGACAGAAGCAGGATTGAAGAATTTAACTTTTAACCCTCTCAAACGCAGAAGGACTTAACTAGGGCAAAGGTTTTAACCCTTTATTTACCTTTATCTATGACAACATTAACCACGATTTTCTTATAATCTGTTTTATACCCTGTACATCAGGGGTGCCCAAAAGGTAGATCTCCAGATATTTTAAAACTACACCTTCCATGGCGCCTTGTCATTCTAAAGGCATGCAGAGACATACAAAGCATCATAGGAGTTGTAGTTCTACAACATCTAGGGATCTACCTTTTGGTCCCCCCTGCTGTACATAGTCATCAAGGTCAGACCCAAAATAGACAAACAATCTAGAAGAAGTATTTGTCAACTTCGGCAGCAATAAGCAGTGGCGTACATACCAGGGTCGCAGGGGTCGTGGCTGCGACCAGGCCCGGCCCACCATGGGGCCCGGCCGCCCCTGCAACCCGGTATGCACCCACTGTGGCCCGCCTCTTCTCCTGGGGGGCCCCGGAGCCGGCCACCTCAGGGCCCCCCGAGGCTGGCCCTGCTGTCACCCCACTGCCGGTCCTGCGGGTGCGCAAGGCAGCACTCTCCCCTGAGTGCTTCCTCTTCAGCTCCCTTGCGTGCCGCAGACTAGATGGGCCGAATGGTTCTTATCTGCCGTCACATTCTATGTTTCTATGTTTCTATGCTCCGGTTCCAGTATCAGTACGCGGCGCGCGAGGGAGCTGAAGAGGAAGCACTCAGGGGAGAGTGTTAGTGTGTGTGTTAGTGTGAGTGTTAGTGTGTGTGTTAGTGTTGGTGTGAGTGTGTGTGTTAGTGTGTGTGTTAGTGTGAGTGTTAGTGTGTGTGTTAGTGTGTGTGTTAGTGTTGGTGTGAGTTTGAGTTTGTGTGTTAGTGTGTGTGCTAGTGTTAGTGAGTGTTAGTGTGAGTGTGTGTGTGTTAGTGTTAGTGAGTGTGAGTGTGTGTGTGTTAGTGTGAGTGTAAGTGAGTGTTAGTGTGAGTGTGTGTGTTAGTGTGAGTGTTAGTGTGTGTGTCTGCTAGTGAGTGTCAGTGAGTGTGTTACTGTGTGTGTCTGTTACTGAGTGTGTTTGTGTGTGTGTTAGTGAGTCTGTTTGATGTCTGTTAGTGAGTGTGTGTTTGTCAGTGAGAGTGTATGTTTTGTAAGTGAGTGTGTATGTATGTCTGTCGCTGAGTGTGTCTCTGTCAGTAAATGTGTGTGTCTGTTAGCTAGTGTGTATGCGTCTGTTCGTGAGAGTGTGTGTGTCTTCAGCTGAGAGGCTGGGGATCCCTCTGCCTCTCAGCTCCATTACTCAATGCTTTCCTATGGACGTTCAGTGTCTTAGAATCGCGGAAGCTCCTCTAGTGGCTGTCAGTGAGACAGCTACTAGAGGCTGGATTAACTCTCAGTGAAACATAGCCGTTTCTCTGAAACTATGTTTTCAGCTGCAGGGTTAAAACTAGAGGGACCTGACACCCAGACCACTTCATTGAGCTGATGTGATCTGGGTGTCTGTAGTGGTTCTTTAAGTCTGTGTGCATCTGCATGCACTGGCGTACATACCGCGGTCGCAGGGATCGCAGCCCTGCAACCCCTGCGACCAGGTGCCTGTCACCATGGGTTGCGGCCCAGGCCCGCGCAGAGTAAGCGTGGTGGGGAGGGGGGCCCATGGATCAATTTTCGCACCGGGGCCCCATGGGTCATGTGTACGCCACTGGCAATAAGTGACAATTTTTACATTCTATTCTATGTTCTATAACATTATTTTTTATTTTACGGTTTTATTTAGTGACAGGTGAACTGTGCCTTGATCTAACTCCGCTGGTGAAATTCTAAAGCCAATTTACATCAGTGACAAATTTATAATTTGGAGATACTGACCTGTAAAGAAAAAAGGATGACAACCGTCAAGCCAACCCAGCTGTGCAAGCTGTACATGTTGGGGATTTTGAAAGAATTGTGAAAATCAAACACAGCAACTAAAGCCACGATCACAAGAACAATGGCTACGAGATGAAGGCCGGCGTGTATATATTTCATTAACAGCTTGCTACATTTCCAAGTCCATGGCAACCTGTACACTATAATAGCTGGAAAAACGACACAAAAAAAACAACTCATGTTACGCAACGGTATTTATATATATATATAAAAAAATAAATCACAGTACAATACGGATGCAATACAAGACATAATAACAGTACAATTATATACACACAATGGGAGAAATGACTCTATATAAGCCAGGTTAGCATTACTTAACCCCTTAAGGATACAACTTCGGAATTAAAAGGGAAACACGATGGAATATTTCCGTCATGTGTCCTTAAGGGGTTAATAAGTTTTGCAAAGCCGGAAAAGCAAGCCTATCCAATTTCAACTGTTTGAATTGTGATAACTAACTATTAAGGTTTTTTTTTTTTTTTTTTTATCTTAACTTGTTTGCATACTACTTAATGGGTTATTGGATCCATACATTAGAAAAATATATTTATAATTTGGGATATTTTCAATGGAGTGTTCCTTTAAGAAAGAATGTGCTGTTTTAAATTACACACCTAGTGTTTTTATAGACATAAACTCTCTAAAAACATTAAGTGTGTACAGATTCAAATAGACCAGAGTTTCTGCAGTTTTTAACTTAACTTTTAAGAACCGTTTACTTATATGCAAATAGGATCTATGTAAATCAATATACAGTTTGTCTATGGGTTTTATTTGATTGTGAACTGACCCATATGAAATTATGATGGCAGACACTCTATGAAGTAACAGGGGACTGGCTCATGCAGATTCATGCAATCATGGGATTTCAGAATTTATTTATTTTTTGAATCAGAACCACAAAAAAGTCATCTAGCAATATGTACAATCCTTCCACAAGAGGGCATTAGGTGTGGAATTAAACACACTCCATGTTATATACGTTTTGGAAGGTGATGTTAATAATTTGTTTATTTTTTGTTACAGGACCAAAATTTGTTTTCTTGGCTAATTTCCCATTAACGGTATTCAGTTCCAGTAAGTTTTTCGTATTTAAGATCTACCTTGTATTACTTCTTATCTGATTGCTAACTTCCTCACCAATTTCCAGGAAATAAATAAACAATAACTATTCCATTTGGCATACCTACCAATTGTCTCTGTTTAGGAGCATCACTCCTGAGAATGAAATCTTCCTGTCCTATCTCTCTACTACTGTCTGTTGGAGCTCCATAGCAATAACATTATCAACGATGTGTCCCCAAACACCTGAGTTTTTAAATCTGTTTTAGCAAACCAAATCATTTGTTCTGGTTTTAAATGCCTTTTTACAGATATGGCTACCACTAGGCAATTTGAAATATGGAGATGTATTCCTTCGTTTTTTCTCATTCAGTGGCAAGGCTTCTTCTAACCAAGTAATGTCACCCCCATTTATACGTATGCAGTGTTTGTCCATTGTATAGCATTGTGCATATGGTGGCCCTTTGATAACAACAGTAGAGTTTATCAATCTTTTAAAAAGTATCCATCACGGTCACCTTATCTTCTTTCTGTGGTTTTGGTACAATTTCGTGGGCAAAACAAAACTAAATTTAGTTTCTGCAATTTTTGAAAGCAATCTGAAACACAGTATTCATTAAATCCGAAACTACTGCAAACTAAAAATCAAGGAAAAGTTTAAGCAGAATGTGCTGATTTAAAAAAAATTATTCTGAAATTTCACTAGAATCACAAGTTTGCATTAAATTGTGGAATTTCGGTTTTCATTTCAGCATAGTCCACTTAGGGAATAAACATTTAAACTGCACTTAAAGGACAGTCCTGGCTAATCTGAAACATTTGATGACCTTATTCTTATAATTTATGGCACTGATAGCTAAAGGTGACATCACCAACATACAGGGGTGTTGTGGGGGGGGGGAGGGGAGTGGGGTGCGGACCTCCTGAGTGAGGTTCTGAAAATGGTGTACAAATTAAACCCAGGGCTTTTCAGTACCTGGTGTATAAGAAATAGCAACTAAACGGAAATGGATCAGCGCTCTAAAACACAAAATGTAGAATATATGTAAATGAGGCAGCACACCTAAAAAGGAAGGGCTCCTTCTAAGCCCCACATGTAAGTAAAAACTAAACAAAGAAGGAGATAAGGTGGCCCAAAAACAGATTACAAAAAGTATAGTTTCAAGTATATATATAAAAATCCAATATAAAAACTAATAAGAAATCCAATAAAAGTTCCAATGAAACTTGCCAGAAATATGTCCAGGTATTCATCCGTATGTAAAAACAAAAGGAAAAACTAATAGTGCAATATATCCCAGAGATAGATAATACCAGTATAAAAAGTCTAATGTAGTCCTACTCACAGTTTTAATCACCAATTAGGGATACGTGATGATATGTTGTTAGTTATCAGCCCCTTTACAGCCCATGTCCCCTTCCTTCTACAGACCCTGCCCACCCCTTCTATAGCCCCTGTGCCCCCTTTTACAGACCCTGCCCACCCCTTCTATAGCCCCTGTGCCCCCTTTTTCAGCCCCTGCCCATTCCTTCTTTAGCCCCTGTGCTCCCTTTACAGCCCCTGCCAACTCCTTCTATATCCCCTGTGCCCCCTCTACAGCCCATATCCCCTACTCTACAGCCCATACCCCCACTGTACAGTTCCCGTCTCCCCTTTTACGCCCCTACCAACCCTTCTCTACAGCACCGTCCCCCTTTCTGCAGTCCCTGCCCTGCCCTCTCAGCCCCTGCCCCACTCTACAGTCCATGCCCCCACTCTACAGTTCCTGCCTCCCCTTTTACACTCCTATCAACCATTTTGTAGTACCTGTTACCCTCTCTATAGCCCCTAACCCCCTTTACAGCTCCTATCCCCCTTTACAGCCCCTGTGCTTGCCCTTCTACAGCCCCTGCCCAACCCTTCTACAGCCACTGTACCCCTCTTTACAGCCCCTGTGCCCCTCACCACAGCCCCCATGTTCCCCTCTACAGCCCCTTGCCCCCCTTCTATTGCCCCTGTGTCCCCCTCTACAGCTCCTGTGTCCCCACCTCTACAGCTCCTGTGTCTCCACCTCTACAGCCATTTGGTCTGTAGAGGTGGGCCTCTATAGCCCCTGATTCCCCCCCTTCACAGACCTTGTACCCCTTTGTACATCCCCTATCCCCCACCACAGCCCCTGACCCCCTCCTAGAGCCCTTTTGCCCCCCATCTACAGCCCCTTTCCTCCAGGAATAAGGTGGTCTCAGCCTCTGTGAAACTTAGCGGAGACTAAGTTTTCGCTGGGGAAACTTACTTTGCTGCAACAGAGAGATCTCCAGCTGCACCAACAACCACACAACGCACCCAAGATAGCCGCTGTGCCACAGCTTTCACGACTCCAGGAGAGCTATTCAAAGCCGATCTCACACAACAGCTCTGTCAGCTGTGTCCATGCCCTCGACTACTGCTTTGAAACGCCAAACCCAATCTGGGCTTGGAACCCACGTGGAGGTACTCCCAAGATGCCGTCCTAATATGTGGCGAGTTCTCTGAACCTCTGAGCGCACCCAGGCCAGCGACCCTGTTGAGGGAAGGCGGAGGGTCATTGGATATGCGGCACCGGTTCCCCAGCTGGTCTGGGCTTTGGAGGGTGAGGAATTATGGTGCATGCCTGTGGCATTGGATTACATCTCTTTACTTACCTACAACTCGTGTTGATTACCTGGTGGAATTAACCCTTATAGCAAATACGTCCCTCTACCTTAAGAGTTGCTCACTTACGTTAAGTTACCTATCATGTTTTTTTCATATTCAGAAAACTGTGCATTAGACCTATAGTTCCGCCCGTTTAAAATAATTTTTAGAAGTGCAATTCTCTTGTATGCTATGACACTGTACCTAAACGTATGTTTACAATATGCTTGTCAATGTCGTTGTGGCATAAGAAGCCTGTATTTTACTATTTGCACAATGAAAATAAAGAATTTTTAAAAATAAATTAAAAATAAATAATATATATATGTATTCATGGAAAACTCTGAATTCAATCACAGATTTGGTGTCACAGTGTGATATATAGAACACATTAGGCTCCAGTGTAGGACTTTGGGCACTTTATAAAGTTGGTTTTATGAGGGGAGAAAGTCACTATATGTGAGATGAGCCATCAAAATTTACTCATGGGCTGAAACACCTGGTGCTGTAACCACCTAGATAAGGCACCTGCTAACATATCTTAACTACATTTTACATAATGCTCAACCACCATAAAGTTTGGTTCAGCATCTCTAACTCCACAAGACTGTAGATATATTTTACCCCCAACTCCCGCCCCCCCCCCCACCATTTAAAAAAAAAAATCTAAATAATATTTGTCAATAGTCATCTCAGACCAACTTGCAATTTAGTAAACTGACCCATTTGCAAGCTTGAGATCATGTGTGTTGTAATAAATGCATCTACTCTAGCCGTTTCCAAAGATTCCAAATACCTTCTGTGCTTGCACATCCTGTCAGAAGAGGGTTTATTGGGTCCTGTGGTAGAGGCCCTATTGAGTAATTTAGCAATGTTGTAACAACTCTCTAAAAATATAACAACGCTTAACTTTACTTTCAAACCCATTTCCTGTTTCTCTTGTTCGGGTTTTATATAAAAAACTATTTTTACTATTAAATGTATTAAAATGTAAATCTACAGCAATTTTTAGTATAGTGAAAAAACTCCTACAGATTGAGACTTTTTAAAAAATTAAGTGACTACTATAGATGATTAGTTTTACTATAGGTAATTAGTGTAGCCAAGCACTTTTGTGGGGATTGACTTCATAGGTAGTTTTAGTCACTAGACAAACAGAAAGTCTGGCAGAGATAAACCCCCAGGCACTTAAAGTGTTAAATGTACAGGCTCAGCAGACACATTGCATTAGAGCAGGCATAGGTAACCTTCGGCACTCCAGATGTTTTGGACAACACCTTCCATGATGCTTTGTCAGCATTATGGGTGTAAGAGCATTATGGGGGATGTAGTCCGCAACATCTGGAGTGCCGAAAGTTGCCTATCCATGCATTAGAGGTTTGTCCGAATTTGACCAACCTTATCACGAGAATAAAAAAAATTAAAAAGTTTTTAAAAAAAATAACATTTACTGAAAATCATGCATACAGTAACAAAGCGCATGTTGTTTGAAGAGTTCATAATAAATATTATATACAGTTGTAGGTTATTAAAAAAATATAAACGGACTGGGTCCCACAATGTGTTTTTTTCCCCCACTGAGCAGTGCGACGTGTATTGCATTACAGGTAAAAACAAAACCAAACTATGTTCCCGGATGTTTTAACAAAAACTGCAACTTCCATCATGATTTGCCAATCTAACATCCAGCATCTGGGGAATATTGCTTTTGGGCACGCCTGTATTACATGTTAATTGAAATTTAAGTCCAATGTATGATGTTTCCGAAATTAAAGCACCTTAAATTTGAGATTCTGAGTGAATTCACTTAGAATTCGTCCTTCAGTAAATATTCCTGTATTCTATCCAGAGTGCAGCTACTCGTTTAACCCATGCAATATCTCTTAACATGCAGACCTACCAATTCCTTCAATAAACACGAATCCTGTAATTACTAAGACAGGGTGCCAGTTAAACTCAGCAGCCCCTCCATTCCAGGCGAGGCCTTCTCTCCAGTGCAAAACCCAGACCAGGACAAAAATAACTCCCAAAAAACCAAACAACAGCGAGGACACAAGAAAAAACAAAAAACTTCTGTATCCCTCCATCTTCAGCAGCATAAATAACTGTTTGTTATGGAGAGAGGCTTCAGAACATGAACTAACAGAGCAACACTCCCCCTACCCTAACGAAGAAACTAAAGGAGGAGGGAGGGAGGGAACAGTGAATCCTCCCCTAAAACTTTGTGGCTAGATCCCTGACTGTGAGTGTTATGCAATTTTTGGCTGACTTGGCTGGGTCTCACCCCACCCCTTCGATTCTTTACTCAAGTTTCTGGAAGGTTTTATAATCATTATAAAATATAAACGGAAGCGTAACATTTGAAAGAATCAAATTTGTTTTTTTAAGAATCAGATTTATGTATCGACAGAACCTACGTATTACTGTATATAATTCTTTATTTAATAATTGTTATAACCTCCTCTCTGTGTGAATGAATTTACAATTCTGACTGGTTCAAACAAAAATATTTTTCAGCTGGACTTGCAAAACAAATTGGTCAACTTAAACCTGATAAACCCCTGCTTTGCCTGTAATGTTGACAATGACTTATACCGGTGAGGTTGAACATGTGGCAGATGAGCCATCAGTACTCAGAGGCCAAAAAAAGAAGGAGAGCTCATACAGAAAGGGTGTATGAGGGTGAGGGGCCTGTGGGAATTGATGTAGAGTGGAGGGTGTTATCTGAAAAGGGGATATATGGATGTGGATCTGAGATACAGAGGGGAAACACATGGACAAAGGAACTTTAAATGGGCACTATAACAACCATAACCACAGTAACTCACAGTTATACCTATACATCGAGGATTATATATGTGTATATATGTATAATCTTCATATCTATATTAAAAAATACATTTTCTCTAAATACTGTTCATCCTTCTATTTTTCACTTTCACTCATTACTAAAATATCCCTATCCTTCTGCAAACCTGTCCCTGATGACACCATTTTCATTGCTCCCACTTTAATTCTCTCCACTCTCTATTCATCCCATGCACTCTACGTATACCTTTCCAGCCTATCTCCTCCAACGCCTCCCAAATCCTCTTTATACATACCCTCCAACAAAACTTTGAAATCCTACTCCCACCTTCACTTCCTTTCTATCCTTCTGCTCCTATCAACTGGTGATGTCTCTCCAAACTCTGGTCCCACCTCAGCAAACCCACCATATACTAACTCAAGGAACCACACCAATCTCATACCCATCTCATGTTACTCTTCCTCTAAATCATCCTTCCACACTGCTCTCTGGAACGCACACTCTGTTGGCAATATTACAAAATCCACTGCTGTCCACAACCACTTCATCTCTCATTCCCTAGATTTACTAGCCGTAACAGAAACATGGCTCTCCCCCTCAGACACTGCTACCCCTGCATCTTTATCTTTTGGTGGTCTTCAACGTACCCACAACCCAAGACACTCTGAATGTAAAGGTGGTGGTGTAGGGTTTCTACTCTCATCTCACTGCTCCTTCTACCTTAGCGACAAGATTGAACAGCTAAGGAAAGAATTCTCCCCACCATGCCTTTCTCTTTCTCAACCACACGTAGATCATGCCTTTCCTACCCTTCAGACTGTCTCCACGGCTACTGAACAAGAGTCGCGCTTCTCTTTTCCTCTCGCCCCACCACTTGCCCGCTTGATCCTGTCCCATCTCACCTTACCAGATCTCTCTTGTCTTGTGCCTTCCTTAACACACATCTTCAACTGCTCTCTCTCTTCTGGCATTGTCCCTGCTGACCTTAAACATGCAACTGTAGTACCTATCCTGAATAAAAACATCTCTCAAACCGTCATCCTCCTCTAACTACCATCCCATATCCCTGCTTCCTTTTTCCTTACAGCTTCTGGAAAGACTTGTCGTTACCCGTATGTCTTACTTCCTCAATTCCAACTTTCTCCTTGACCCTCTTCAATCAGGCTTCGGCACCCGCCACTCTACTGAGACTGTTCTTAGCAAAGTTACTAACGATCTAATTGCAGCTAAATCCAAAGGCCACTAATCCATACTAATTCTTCTTGATCATGCTCTCCGTCTTCAAACTCTTCAATCACTCGGTCTCTGTGACTCTGTACTCTCATGGTTTTTCTCTTATCTCTCCCAACACTCATTCAGTGTCTCCTTTTCTAATGATACCTCCTTCCTATGTCCTGTTTCAGTTGGAGATCCCCAAGGCTCTGTCCCTGGTCCAATTCTATTTTCTCTTCATACTGCCTCTCTTGGCAAACTTATTACCTCTTCTCCCTGGACCTCTACCCTGCCGTCCTGCAACGTGTCATTGCTTGCCTTTCTTCCATCTCTAACTGGATGTCCTCCCACTTTCTGAAACTCAATCTCTCTAAAACTGAGCTCCCTGTCTTTCCTCCTCCTAATACCGATCCTCCTCTTTCGCTCTCCCTTCAAGTTAGTGGTATCCACAGCCTCAGTCCATCCTTGCAAGTGCACTGTTTTGGCATCATACTTGATTCTGGCCTCACCTTTGAGCCTCACATCCAGTATGTTACCAAATCCTGTAGATTCAAACTTAAAAACATCTGCCCTGTTCTTATGCAAGATGCTACTAAGGAGCTTGGCCATGCTTTCCTGCATGGATTATTGTAACCCTCTCCTAATTGGTCTTCTCAAAAACCCTATTGCCCCACTACAGTCTGTAATGAATGCTGCAGCTAGACTGATTTTCCTCTCTAGTTGGTCCTCTCACACCTCACCCCTCTGTCAGTCCTTACATTGACTTCCTGTCTCCTATAGGAGTCAACAGGGCCGGACTGGCCCACCGGGATACCGGGAAATTTCCCGGTGGGTCGCGGCACCTGGGGGCCGGCCGCGTTCCTGGGCCGGCCCTTTAAATTCTGCAGCCGCCCGAGCGCTCTGTTAAGAGCCTCAGGCGGCTGCAGCTTCTCCCCTCCCCTCCCCTGTAGCGTGGCCGAGCTGCACTCCGGTCCGCGGTGGCCGGCAGGAGTGATAGGAAGGTGCACACTGAGTGTGCACTTCCTGTCAGTCCGGCCGGTTACAGGAAACAGAAACTCCGCGCGGAACAGGAGTTTCTGTTTCCTGTAACCGGCCGTACTGACAGGAAGTGCACACTCAGTGTGCACCTTCCTATCACTCCGGCCGGCCACCGCGGACCGGAGTGCAGCTCGGCCACGCTACAGGGGAGGGGAGAAGCTTCAGCCGCCTGAGCCTCTTAACAGAGCGCTCGGGCGGCTGCAGTATTTAAAGGGCCGGCCCCCTGGTGCCGCGGCCCACCGGGAAATTTCCCGGTATCCCGGTGGGCCAGTCCGGCCCTGCTAAAAGGCCACGACAGAGACTTGTGCATGTCAGTTTTTCAACTTGATATATAGGAATGCTTGGCCTATCTCCAGTTTGGTGTATTTTTGCATCCCCTAGTTAGTGTTACCATCATGAAAGTTTATATTTTTATCAAGTAGACATTCCAGGGTATTTTATATTGGGTGTTTTAACATCATTTCCCCAATCATTGTGCTAAAATATTTTCAGAGAACCAGCATGGTGATAATTTGTGAATTCTGCTTTTTGATTTTAGCCAGCAGGTTGTATGTTACTGACAGAAAACACCCCAGTTTTTTTTCTGCAAAGTCCCGTGAGAACACCTATGGCCCCCCCATGCATTGGTTTGCCACGATTTTACAGTAACAAATTTTGGACTTGCCCATTTTGGCTGAATATAGTTTGCTTGCTTTGCTAGGCACGTTGAGTCTGGTGCATTTTTCCATCCCCCACGGTGACTTTATGAATTGAAAGTATATATTTGGATAAAGTACACATCCAAGGTTTTGTCTTCTTTTCCCCAACCATTTTGCCCCTTAATATTCAGACAAAGTGTGTGGTGGTAATTTTTGAATTCTGTTTTTTTATACACACTTTGCTTTTAGATTTCGGCCACAATACTTTTTTAACCAAATGTGCAGACATCAAATGCACCATAGGCGTGCGCAGCCTATTGCATTAGGGTGTGCACCCTAAAGCACAAACACACGCCGCGCGTGTGTGTGTGTGTGTGTGTGTGTGTGTGTGTATATATATATATATACATATATATATATATTCACAGACACACACACTCACAGACACACACTCACACTCACAGAAACACACACACACTCACAGACACACACACTCACACACACTGACACACACATACTCACACACACACACTCACTGACACACACACTCACAGACACATACTCACACACTCACAGACACACACTGACACACACTCACAGACTCACACACACATACTCACACTCACAGACACACACTGACACACACACTGACACATACTCACACACTCACAGACACATACTCACACACTCACAGACACATACTCACACACTCACAGACACACACTGACACACACTGACACACACACACTCACACACTGACACATACTCACACACTCACTGACACACACACTCACAGACACATACTCACACACTTACAGACACACACTGACACACTGACACACTCACTGACACACACACTTACAGACACACACTGACACACACTCTCAGACACATACTCACACACTCACAGACACACACACTCACACTCACAGACACACACTCACACACACACACTCACTGACACACACACACACTGACACACTGACACATACTCACACACTCACAGACACACACAAATAATTATATTTTAATTTTTTTTTTTTAAATGTCCACCCAGCCTCCTACCTGGAGTGCTGGTGGACTTGTCCCTGGGGTCCAGTGGGGGCGGGCGCCTCTCTGCAGCACAGCGCGCGGCGAGGGAGCTCTCTGCTCTCTGCTTCCTCTCGCCGCGCGGGCTGTCTGCTCGAGCTGGGAGCCGGAATATGACGTCATATTCCGGCTCCCGGCATCAGCGCGCGGCGAGAGGAAGCAGAGAGCAGAGAGCTCCCTCGCCGCGGCTGAGCTGCAGGGTGGGGGGGAATCATCACCTCTTGCCCTCCCCATGACAGGGGCAAGAGGTGAAACAGGGGACACTGAGTGCCTGCAGGAACAGCGTTCCTGCTCAAAAAAAGTGCAGGAACGCTGTTCCTGCAGGACTCAAACCATAGGGGTGCGCACGGGGATTAGGGTGTGCCCAGGCACACCCGGCACACCCCGTGCGCACGCCTATGAAATGCACCTTTAGCAGCAA